ATTTACCCCTCTTAATCCCTCGATATTCCTTTCAAAATTAATAGACTTTTGGGTCAATAGGCATTTATGGTCAATAGATTTCCAGGGTGAAGTCTTCAGGACTGACTCCCTCCAAAGTGCTTTTTTAGTTGAGTGGGCCTATGAGTTATAACTAGTTATAGGTCAATAAATACACCGTATTCATTTTTCAAATAACAAAACAGGTTTAGTGCGTGACAAGACTAGATAATTATCTTGATTTCGCCCAGTATTGCTGTTATTTTTTGTAAGTCTTGTAGTTCCAAGACTACTTAATAATCATTAAAAAGTAAACATTTCAAATCTATCCCCAAAATAAAAATAATATCGCACGGACATGCCCATAACGGCGCGCGGCCATAGCGGTGCAAAGCCATAACTTGCTTTAAGATTTCTTAGTCGTATCAGATTTATTATCAAACGATTGCTCTCATCGAGCTAGGGAGATTTTCAGAAAATTGATAAGGACTAGACATTTTCCAGCAAGTCATGACTTTGCGCAGTTATGGCCGCGCACCGTTTTGGGCATACCCAAATCGTATATTTCATACAAGTTTATAATCAAACTAGCTTTTATATCACTTGATTATATAGTAGCTCATACATGTCTCTAAACTTGGTGTATAGTTATAGGGAATGAACTAAGTTATCTATAATGCACCAAGAATTTAAAATTAAAGTTAATTTTTATAGCTAAACTGACATGTCCCTTAGACTTCGAATTCATGTCAGAGATTAAAACAAATAGTTAAAAATAATATAAAAAATTTTTATGGGAAAATAGGAACACGCCCATGTAATTTTAAAAGTTATAGTCAAAAAATCAGAACAACTAATCAGGGTTTGCGCTTCCTCGAGAATCAAATGTGATACGTAATCTGTATAAAAAGCCAATTTCAATAATTAATTTGACTGACTAATTAGCCATGCAAAAATAAATATTTTAGATTTAAAGTACGATTACAAAGAAAAATTTCAACTTGAGACCATTAAAGAAATAATAATGTATAAATGCATATTATGCAAAATTGACAATTAAATAAATTCAAATTTATTCACTGTCTTTTCAAATTATGTTAAATAATCTGTCAAATTAAAATATAATACATACAAACAATTTTTAAACGCTTTTAATGAATACATTTTGTGATAATTAAATTTTCTCTTCTTTAACTTATATAATTTAAATTTCTTATTTAATTATTAACGTTGTTACCGCCTTCTACGTCTCAACATGCACGAAATTGGCGAAAACTTGAAAAAAATAAATTTAGAAATAACATTACTTCCAATAAAATATGTAAAAAATTAGGGAACGTACTGGCAGTGTCATACGAGAATCGGGAATAAAAAAGGGATTAGGTTGGATTAAGTCGTTATACAGGGTGACCAGAATGTTATTGCACACTTTTCAATTCATCATAACTTTTTTTCTCATTTAAATTTTTTAATATTTTTAACACATTTTGTAGCCCATTCAAATCTCTTTCAGGGGTTAAAAGCCTGGTTCCATTATCGAATCTTTTACCCAAAGATTTGTCGGTTGCAAAATTTCAACTCCTCCCAAAGTTCAAAAAAGCACTGTCCAACAAATTTTAAATAATTCCGGGAGAAAATTTTTGGGAAATTTTTTTCTGTAAAGTATTTAGGCTAGTAGCCATGACTATTCGCTTTAAAAAATAGGCAGAAAATGTGCAATAACATTCTGGTCACCCTGTAGAAGGATTACGTCTCCCTCTTTCCATTCCTACTCCTCTTTATATTCCTATTAACCCCCATAGCCATTTAATACCCGGAATCCCCTCCAATAGAAAAACAATTTTGATCTTTCGTAACGCTAAAAATAGCTATGAACACTGTTCAAGCTTTTCCAAAAGAATAAACTCTTTTCTACAGATCTTTTCTACTGAATTACCCTTTCTAAATTTTAAAATGAAAAATAAAATAGTAAATAACATTAAGTAGATTTTTACTTAAATTCACTCTTTTACAAGATTATTTAAAAATAACTTACTTCACATTGCTCCCAACCATGTTCAAAGTCACTCCGCTTTTCATCCCCTCTCTTTTTTAAAAGAGCCTAAAAATGATTTGCTTCATGTTTTTAATTACATTAAAAGATGTTTAAATGGATTTATTAGCTTTATTTGCCAAAAGTTTATTACCACATTGACTATTTTTGAAAGCCATTTAGCTGGCTAATTTACACGACATCTAAACATCAGTTTTGCCTCTAAACAAAAAAGTCGTCGTAAATCGGAAATCGAAATAAATCCAAAAATAATCGAAAATACACCAAAAAGTTGAAATGGAAAGAAAACCCCACAAAATTCTGCTGGATTCTTGAACCTATGGATTCTTGGATCGCAATATTTCAACTGATGACGGGTTAGCTGGTAGGGATATCACAAAACTCGTGAAGCCTATCACTCGCCTTATTCCGCAATAAAAACCTGCACGACCTTCTCATCCTGATGCCCCTCTTAATCCCCCCTAAGTCTACGGCACTAACTGAGCCAAAACCCAAATTTTTCTTAGACCGTGACATCCAAGGTAGCAGTCGAAAGCCAATTTTACCCAAAATCACCTTTGATTGAATACCAGGGTTTCGATCTCGAATTTTTAAAAATCCGCAAATTTGATCGAAAAATCCGCATTTTATCTCAAAAATTCGCAAAAGATTATCCAACTAAAAATTGAATTAAAATCAATTTATGCATTATATTTTTTGTATTCTACAATTGAATTAAGCAATTTTTTATTACTGATGATCATCTTATGAAAATCCGACGATTATCTGAAAAATTACATTTGCATTTTTGTCGCGGAAAGTGTCGTAAATTTATATTTCTCCCATTTTCAGCGCCGCAGGCGAAAATTTTTTTAATTTTGGAAGATCCTTAAGCCAAAAATCGTTCATTTTCAGGCCAGGCAAAAAATTTTGAGGATTTTGGAAGATCACGGACACCGATTCCTTCCTTTTTTTGCGCCGCAGGCGAAAATTTTGAGAATTTTACAAGTTCTTAGCAGAAAAATAATGCATTTTATGCTAAAAACTACAAGAAAATATAAAAAATCCTCATAATCTTAAAAAAACCACAAAAATCCGCAAATCCGCATATTTAAAAATAATCCTCATCGCCCTATCAAAAAACCACAAAATGAGGAAAAATCCGCATATATCGAAACCCTGATATAAACCACATCCCTGTAGATTTGTTTGAATAATCAAGTCGATGACATAATCAAGAATGAGTTGCACCTAAATAAGAAGTGATTAAGTATACAGCTTCCTTGACTATTTTATAAGGGATTCGATCATCCCAATAGATTAATTAGAGGTTGGGCTAATCGATGTTGGGCCCCAAAGAGTGTTAACCACACCTTAGTGCGCGTCATCCACTAATTAAAACGAAGGCCTTCTTTTAAACTTTTTTTCAAGAATAGAAGGGGGAGATGATAGGCCAACTTCGATCGGACCCAAAACTTTAATGAAAACTTAACTGAACTTTAATAAAAGGAATCTTGTTTGTAAACCCAAAACCGATCGTCTCGAGTATATAACAACTCTATTAGAGCCAAAATATGCTAAAAACTGAGGACAGTAAGGTGAGAGCGTGAATCAAAGCAGTCTAAATTAAGTATCCAGGAAGGAAGTGAATTGTGTAGTTAGGAAAGAGACACAGAAAAGGGTGTCATAATTGAGGAGTCTCGCTAAAATTTATTTCTTGATTAGTATCAGTAGAACATGTTTGATGCATATAAAGAGTTTTGTCAGGATTCGCATTCAATGCTTCGAATTTTTCCTCGATGAATTTTACTTGTTCTTCGTATAAGTCAGAACCTTAAATTGAAATTTAAACTGATTTTAAGAAAAATTGAGTTGATATATGAACGGGTGTACATAATATTTTATATTTAAAATATTAATAGATATTATTGAAAATTGAACTGAAAAACTTGATTTATCGGTTGAATATTAAGCGTAATTTTTTGGAAGTCAAATTCGATTTGACTAATTTTCATTTTATGGCCGCTAATTACATTTAGATTGGAGGGTGTTAGAAGGTCTAGAGACAGTTTAGTGGGTGTACTGGATCAAGTTTTTTTGGGGTCTAAGCTAAATATGGATAGTAGTTAGTTATGTTATTAAAGATAGCTTCTAATTTTGGGTTTCAAGTAGAGACCGGACTGAGAGTGTCGTACAAGAATCGAGACTTCGATAACCGAGAATCTCGTCTCGGTCCGGTCTATAGTTACAAGTTGAGTTTGTTTAGATATCAATCTCGAATCATAATTGTTCCCCACGTACATCACTAGTTTACACAATATTTTAATAATTGTTTAAAAATTGATTAAATTATAAGTAAATCGGTTGACGATGCCCGATCATCTTTCTTATTCTTAAATTTTTTGGTAGTCAAAGCTTGACTTTGGCTAAACACTTGTTTCTGTAAATTTCTGCTTGAAAGTTTTACGAATAATTTTATTTCAAAATTTTTCATGATTCCTAGTTAAACAAGGAATCATGGCATACTTGAGAGTTTAAAATGTATCGGTATTTAGTCGATGGTGTTTATGTATCTACTGTCGATAATCCCACTATTTCCCCAAGAACCTATCTCAAGTTTACATAATATTTGATTACAAATTATAAAGATTATGATAGACGTTCGACTGTGATTGAGGTGGATTATTCGTTTTCTTAATCTTATTTTTTGGGAGCCAAAGTTAACATTTGGCTAAACAAAAAAAACATTTGGTTAACATTTGGCTAAAAAAACATTTGGCTTCGTGTCTTCTGTTTGTAGATCTTCTGTCCTTGGGTCTTCTGTCTGGGCGATCTCTGCGTCAACTCTATCCCTAGTTTACACAATATCTTAATAATTGTTTATGAATTGATTAAAGTATAAGTAAATCGGTTGACGCGGTCAGAACGTCTTTCTTTCTCTTATTTTTTGGGAGCCAAAGCTTGACTTTGGCTAATCTCTTGTTATCGTAAATCGTCTCAGTCTATAATATTCAAAAATACTCCTACCTTTATAATCATTGAAGCAAACTTTAATTGTTTTCCTTTTAATTTTTTCGATAAATAAATCTGTCTTGTTGAGAAAAACAATCATTGAAGTATTTATGAACCATCTGGAATTGCAAATACTTTCAAAGAGGCGCATTGATGGAAACATTCGGTTCTGGAAAAATTAAATTTTAAAAATTATAAGAAATTTTTTGGGAGGATATCGAAAGGATATAGCGAATAAAGTCTTGCAAAAACGCCTAAATGGATAAAACTCAACCAGCATTGAGTCTACAAAGTAGCCTTACCATTCTTTTTTGCTACAAATATTATAAGCTTGAAAAATATACATAAATTAGAATTCGCCTAATCATAAGTAATAAATTTTAACGGATTTTTGCTTTGAAGATTTTATGCACTGTTATTTTTTGGAAACCCTATAGTAATGGGTTAATTGTTAGGGTGGTTCTGGAAAAATTCAATTATGAAAATGGATAAAGATTTTTTAAAGGGGTGGGGGATATTGTCAAGATAGTAAAAAAGATGCTTAAAATATACGTTAAATACATAAAGCCCTAAAGGCTTTGAATCTGCAAAGGTGTGCTCTAAGGTAGGTAAGCGCTGTCAGAAAAAATGAGAATTAAATTGTCAATTTTTGGAGCCAAATATCGACTAAACTTTTATAGGTTAACTCATAAATCCGCTTTTTTATATTATTTTTATAATTTTGAAAGATATCATAAATTGAAGTTCAATGTATTCTTTAGTATTAACTTCTATATATCTTTGCTTTGCTGGGGTTTTCTAGCCGTAATTTTTTGGAAGCCCATATTTAATGGGTTAATTAATTTTTTTCATCTTGACTCAGATAACAAATTGGAAGAAATTAGTAAAAAAAGCCTTAATGGGTTTGCAAAAGTGTAATCTAAGCTAAGTAAGTAATGTCAGGAAGGTCCATGTTAAATTCAAATCTTATGACATTTGTATCTAATAAGGCGTCCTAGCTTTGATAATTTAAACAGATTTGTATCGTTACGATGGAGGGGACAATGGACTAATGGTCAGAAATGAGAATTAATTTTGAAAGATATTATAAAAAATTCAATCTATACTTAGTTATAACTTTTAAATGATCATTGCTTAGCATATTGGTTGATTTAATTATTTGGAAACTCATAAGTAAATGTTAATTAATTTTTTCATTTTTACTCGGCTAACAATAATAGATAAAAATTTGGATCTGAAAAACCCTCCATATGTAATGGGTCAATGAACAATATTTCATAAATTTTATAAAATTTAGTAAAATATTTGAAATAAATTTTATGCTTAATAAAAGTACGGGAACTTTTGCCGCACCTTGTATATTTATTAAATTAATAGTTAGGGTGTTTGTATATTTTCCTTGTATGTATGTTTGTAACCAATTTTAAAACAAAAAGTATAACAAAAAAACCGTTTTAAAACTTGATAATCGGAGCTAAAAGACCGAAAATTGGCTTAGGAAAGTTTATTTGAAATTTTAATTGTTACAGTAAACCTGTTGTAAGTCAACATTCAAACATTTAATGACAATAAAAATTGTCCCTGTAGATTTTAACTTTTAAATTTCCAGATCCCCATTTCTTTTATTTGGCCTTCGAGAATTATGTTTGTGATGAATATTTGTAAGAAAAGTTTTGGAGAATTAAAAATTTGATTTCCCTGTAGTTTTGTCAAGAAAAATTTTTAAAAACGAAACTATTCCAAGACTCATTTATTGCAGCTGATGATTTTGCAACTCCAAAAGAATTAATAAAATATTTAAAGACTTTAGCAGCTGTGAGGTTAGTTTCGTCAGAAGTTCTTTTCGTCAGTAAGGCTCCCTTTTTATAAATCCAATTACACGGCGGTTTTTGAGTTGTACTAGATTTTTTGTTTCTGGATCGATTTGGGTAAATGAGGTGTCATTCGAAAGAACTCTAAGAACTGAGTCGAATTAGTTGTGAAAGAAGTTAATCAGAAATTCCTTGGCCGAGTTTCAGACTCCTGAATATTGAAAAATGGTGTAATGAAGCTCAGTTCTCCGAACCGATTCAACTCGTCGAGCTGAGTCGGTTGAGCTATCATTTATAAAATAGAATTTACATCCCAAAAATCAACTTTTCTAAGCTCCTTCGAATGACAAATCATTTGTTCAAATCGATCCAGAAACAAAAAACATAGTATGTATATTAAAGACAGGGAAATTGTAGATGTATAATTATATTTTGCGCGATTAGATTTGATGGCTAAAAATAATGATGATGAGAATGAAGAATGATTTCGAATATTCTATCTATATTAGTTTAGTAATGGGATTTTAAAATTTAAGTAAAACAGTTAATTAACAGAAAAATATATCTATTTGTTTTAATTGATATTTAAATTTATTTAATGTTGGTGGATTAAATAAGTGTTGCTAAATCATAGATTTTGTAATTTTATTCAGCGACCGACATATATATTAACGACCGACACATTAACCGACATACCCGCTCCTTAACTTTCGGGGAGCTATTCTAGTTTAATCCAACTAGTTTTTGATGGATATATTATGCGAACTCATGTGTCATTAATAGTTAGACTTTCACTTTACTAAATTTTGTCTATTTCACGTTTGTAAAAATAATTTTTTTCATTAATAAAAAAATATGTAAATAAGTATGTAGTCTAAGCAACAGAAAAGTACAATATTTCTCAGAAATTTGTTAATAAAATAAGACAAAACTTTACTTTGTAAAGTTCCTGTTCCGGTTCCGGTCAAAATTTCGGTTCCGGTGAACCCCTAATACATATATTTAAAATTTTTATATTTATATTTGTTATTGAAAAGTATTTTTTAAGTACACCAAGTACGTCAATGTAATAATATCTCACGATTTTAATTAAAATAAAGAAATTTTCTCGAAAATGTTTTTTTGTATTTAAAAATGAATATTATAAATGTAAATATTTATGAATTATAAATTCAAAAATTATTTAGTGTGTGAAACTTTTTACTTTATTTTTACTTTACTTTAATTTATTATACATACATACTTCTTGTAAAATTAAAATAAAAAAATGACAGATTTAATTGATATTTTCCTTAAATTCGATTATTGGACAAGTTTATTACTTGGTTATTCTCTAAACAGTATTCTGATTATTTTAATTATTTTTAAAACACCAAAAGAAATGGAAACACACAGCAGAATTCTGATACAAAATTGTGTTTTGGATATTTTATTATTAACAATTCAAATGTTTGTTCAAGTGGTAATCTGAATTGTTTAATATAAAATATTTAGGAAAACAGCAGGAAAATATTAATAAATCAAAATTATACTTTCCGGTTGTTATAGATAAAGAAGGCAATTACCGTTAAATGTTACATCTCCGATTTCATTAACTAGGGCCTTCAAAATATGCGCGGAAAATCGCAAATGCACACAAATAAATATACATACACCGAAAAACCTGAACCCAACATTAAATTTAGTAGAAAACTTTAATTTAAATAATAGAATTTATAATAAATAAACAGAATTGCAGATAAAGCAGGGCTTAAAGCATTTTTGCACGCGTCAAAAGTTTTTTGTATACACATTTCAATACAATTGAGCCTGTGTCAGCATTTATAATACATATAAAAATCAAAATTTAATGAAAAACGAACTTGAATAATTTATTTAAGTTCGGTATAATAGACAATGAAGGAGAAACAATTTTTATTATCTCTGACGGGATCTTGACTTATTTTATGAATGAGAAGTTCAACCCATTATTTTTCTATTACATTTATATTACCTGGCAATTTATTTACAATTTAAATATTGACGGATTATGTGTTCAATTTATATATAGATATTTAATTGTAAACAGGTAGAAACATAAAACAGAATTTTTACAAACAAGTAATAAAAATCAGAATTAATTTAAAACATAAGCAAAATAGTGTTAATTTCAAACTAATAATCTTAATTAATAAACATTTATTTTAACAGAAACATGAAAATCGGTGTTCGTCGCTATTTATATATGTTTTCGATTGTTGTCATAATAAATGTAATTGTCTCTTTGGATAATATTTTCTTCATTATACCATTTTCTGGTGGGGGTGTTAAACAGATTGGCGAATTTAATAAAACCTTGCCGTATTTTCAAATAGAAACGAATAAAGTATCTTTAAAATAATTTTTTATAATTTTAATATTAAGATAAGAATTTTGGCAAGTGTCCCACCAGCTTTTATTGAAATTATTCCGTATTTTATAATAATTATTTTTGCAATTAAAATAATTAAATCACACTGACGTTTATAAAGGACCGAAGTCCGCTCCATTCCAAAAGCAATAACTCGAATTGAACCTGTCTTCCCATCCTTTCCCCTTTTCCTCGTTTCAACAACAAAACCCGTCTTCATTCTATACTCTTGTATTCCAACCATTTCTACTTCTGTCGCCGTGGCTTGCCAATTAATATTGCCCTGATAAAACCATGTACTCTCATTCAAGGTTCGGAATTTGTCGGTACGAAGCTGGAATTTAGTAATGTAAATGTCATCCCCAACGCACGCATCTGTCGCATCTTCATTATTCATTTCAACTAGAACATTCCAAGGAATTTCAATGAATAGGGGCCACTCATCTTCTTTGTTCGGGGATGTCGACACTGCAATAAGTCTGGCTTCTTGAAGCTGTGAAATAACATAACGTCTTCCTTTTGGTACTCGTTCTTTTGGCTCTTCCTTTTCTTCTTTATTCTTCTTCCCTTTACTTTTAACTTCTGTAAAATTATTTTTATTTTGAGCCGAGGCCCCACTAAACCCACCGTTTCCGAAGTCTTGTGATTCATTTTCTTCTCCCCACGAATTACCTGATTTCTCCCATTCATCCAGTGCTTGTTTCAGTGTTTCTTCTTTTTCAGTATTTTCATTTTCAGCCCCCAAGACTAAGTTCTCCAAACTTTCAGTAATTTTCTCTGGATCAATGACATTCACATCTTCCAAAAGTTTTTCTTCACTAGCAATTTTATCATGGACCGAAGTCCCTTTCTCGATTGAAGCATTATCTGAAATGGTAAGATTTTTTAAAGAGATTTCTCTCTCCTTTTCACTTTGTAAATGGACCGAAGTCCCAACGTTTTTCTCGCTCTCACACAAATTATTTTGGACCGAAGTCCCTAAAGAAGCTGTTGACGAGGATCCAATTCCTTGCATTGCAGCCTCAAATACTTTAGTTTTAGTTGCTTTTATTTTAAGATTTTTAGACATTATCTTTCTAAAAAAAAATTAATTTAAAATTAAATTTGAAAATTTGAGAAATAAAATTAAAATCGCGTAAAAAATTTAAATGTGTGAGAGTAAAGTGTAAAGTTTGGGAGAAATGATTATGAAAGAGATTAAAAAAATAATTAGAATATAATTAAGAGTGTGAGTTTATTCTATTGAGAGCCTTCTGGCTTTGGGATTCCTACGGAGGTTGTACCTTTTCTCATTGGGTTCCCTACTAATATTATCTTCAGGACAATTCTCCTCTATTGGAGTGGTTGTAATTGGTTCCTGACTGTTTGAGTCATTAATTGCTTTTTCCTCATCTTGAGTTAATTCTGGGACTGTTACTATCGGTGGTAAGTCTTCAAAGCACTTCTTTAACTGGTTTATATGAACAACCTTCGGTATCGCACTCGGAGCATTACAACTAACTATAGTAACATAAATTCCATCTATTTTTACCACTCTGAATACACCTTTCCAGGGCATGTGAAATTTCTTTGAGGTACCTACTTTGCCACAATAATTCCTCAATAATACTCTGTCACCTACAGTTACTGTTGGGTTTCTAGTCAATTTGTCGTACTGGGCTTTTGACTTTAATTGGGCTTCCTTATTTGCTTCGTCCGCGGCTTCCCATGCTTTCCTCAATGAGACTACTAGTTTTTGCTTGAATTCAGATAAATCAGTTAGGGCTACTGGGTCGTGAACTCTGGGATCGAGAATTTGGTCTACACAGAAAATTGGATCTCTACCGAACATTAAAAAGAAAGGTGTTTCTCCTGTTGAAGCATGAATTGATGTGTTATAGCAAAAGCTGGCTATGTCTACAAATTCGTCAAAGTCGGGCTGTTCCTTATTTATATACTTGGCAAGAATATTATGAAAAGTTCTAAAAGAGCGTTCAGTGACTGCATTGCCTTGGGACCAGTGCGGGATTGCATAGCTTTTGTTTATATACAACATGGAGCAGAAATTTCTGAAAAATTCGCTAGTGAATGCCGTGGCATTATCTGTTATTAGTTCAATACATCCGCCATACCTTAGATAGCAACTTGTGAGAAAAGTCTTTGCTAGCGTTAGTGCTTTTGCGTCGGGAACAGGTACTGAGATTACATATTTCGTGAACCAACAAATAATGTTCATTATATATTTGTTTCCATTTTGAGTCATCGGAAAGGGACCCGCTAAGTCAATTCCTACTTTTGCAAAGAGTGTATTTGGAGGAGCCATCTGCATTTCAGCTCTGTAAGGGGGATTTGGAGAGTGCCGAAGCTGACAGGTTATACAGTTGCGCGCCCAAGTGAGTATATCTGCGTGCATTCTGTGCCAAAAATATTTTCTGCATTTCTTTAATGTCTTTTTCATACTCATGTGTCCTCCGCCCAGGTGCGAGGAGTGAAAGGATTCAAAGATTAATGCTCTAAGGGAGACGGGTACAAATATTCTGGGATTCATGTTCGGCAATTTATGGCAAAGTATGTTCCCTATTATCTGAAGATTTTCTGCTGATACTACAAATTTTTCTATTTCATTCTGCGGAATTTCTTCTGGAATTTCCCCAGTCTTTAAAAATTTAATAAGGGCCGAAGCCTCAGGGTCTTCACTTTGTTCATGCCTAATATCAATTGTATAATTTTGTCCATCCTCTTTTCTTAAAGTAAATGCAGCTATAGACTCATCAACAACTAATTGCGACTTAGCTCTTAAGGCTAAACACACGGGAAACTCGGCAATGTCTTCAAGCTCTTCGAGATTTTCTACTTCCTTGGGGTCATTTGTCTTAAATACCCTTGATAGCGCATCTGCTAAGAGGTTTTCTTTTCCAGAAACATGCACAATTTTTATATTATAATTCTGAAGTTCAATGAGCCAGCGTGCTAAATTTGGGTGAGCCTGCGCCTTTTCAAGAAGGTATGCCAATGGCTTATGGTCGGTATGAAGCTCGACTTCTGCCATATAAATAAAAGGTTTAAATTGCCTAAGTGCATAGATTATCGCACCTAGCTCAATTTGTACTGGTGGCCACTTCCTTTCTGATGTGGTTAATGTTCGACTGCAATATGCTATGGCTTGAAAAAGATTATTTTCATTCTTTTGCATTAGTGCCCCTCCTTGACCTACTAAAGAAGCATCAGTGAAAATGTGGAACGGCTTACTATAATCTGGAAAGGTCAGGACTGGTTCATTCGTCAATATTTCTTTTATTTTATCAAACGCTCTTTGTTGCTCGTCTTCCCACTTAAAGCAATTTTCTTTGCGAGTTAGCCTGGTCAATGGTTCTGCTATCATTGAAAAATTTTGAATATGCTTTCTGAAAAATGAGGCCATTCCTACTACTCGCCTGACTTCTTTGACACTAGTGGGTGCTGCTAAGTTCTTTATTATTTCCACTTTGCTTAGGCTTGGTGTGTAGCCTGAGGAATTAATTATATGCCCTAAGAAGTGCATTTTTGTTGATCCCAATACGCATTTCTTGGGACTGACTTTTAATGAAAATTTTCTTAATCGCTCAAATACTTGTTTTAAGGCATCGAGATGCACGTCAAAGTCATTTGGTTTTGTAAATACAAGAAAGTCATCAACATAAGTTAACACACAATCTTCTAATCCACTGATTACATGCGCCATTACTCTAGCGAACGCACTAGTTGCATTTCTTAAACCGAAAGGCATATGGGTCATTTGGTACACTTCGTCTTCTGTAATTACACCACATTTCCTAGAAGCTCTTTCAGTTAATCTTATCTGAAGATATCCACTTGAGAGATCAAGAGATGAATAAAAGTGACAACCTCCTACTTTTTCCATAATTGTTTCCAACCTAGGTAGGGGAAAATGGTCCGGTACTGTAACTTCATTTAATTTTCTAAAGTCTATACAAGGCCTAAGCCCGCCGTCCTTTTTCTGCACTAACACTATGTTTGAAACCCACGGAGTGTCAGATTTTACCATCACTCCTGATTTTAGAAGCTTGTTAATATTTTCTTGCAGTTCACTCTGAAATTTAAATGGGACTCTATGGGGTTTAGAGGCAATAGGAGTTTCAGTTGTGGTCAAAATATCATGTTCTCCTACTATACACGACCCTAAATCATACTGGCTTCTACTGAAGACATCCGAAAATTCTTCACAAAGATTTTGAAGCTTAATTAAATCATTTCCTACTACTGAACTTTTTGAGAAATCTATTTTGAATGTTTTATCACTTTCCAAGTTATTTACTTTGTAAGCATCTATTTCACTTTTATCTTGATATTGGGTTAACCAAGGACCTTCACAGCTTTCTACACACTCATCTGCAAATGCTATGTGCATTCCATTAAAAATATGCTTTGGGGCATTTGTGGGGTTGGCCAACAAAACACATACAGAATTGTCCTTTGGTTCCACAACTGTTGGAATTAATCCAATGTTTTCATCTACTAGACGATTTTCTAGAGCATGAATTAATGCATTGCTTATTTTATTCATAGACATTAATTTTCCTTTGACAATTTTGTGTGACCCATGGAGAATAGTTGTGGCTTCTATTGCATAAATTTTCGCATTTTCTATTAAAGGTTGATTATTTATGCCGAGGCATACTGCGGAATTACCAAACCACGCTTTGTCATTCTTAAAGTCAAAAGTGACAGGTGGTAGTTTACCCAAAAGATCACATCCAATTATCATTTGATAATTTCTTTTATTATTTAATTGCTTATCTTCTACCAAATTAACATCGACTGTATGCTTTAGACCAGCTACTTCTAAACAACATTTCATTTGTGCCTTGACTAAAATTTCATGACCCGAGGCTGAAGTGATTGCTAAACAAGTAGGGGTAAGTCCTATATTTAATTCTCTTGCAAGCGAGATAGGAGCTATGGATATACTTGCACCAGTGTCGATAAGACAATTCACAGGTTTACTATTGACTGATACCCTAGTAATTGCTGTATTGGGAGAGGTAGCGTTAATATTTAATTTATTTTTGGCCGAGGCCGCATTTTCACTTTGGGTGGATAGAACATTTATTTCTATTGGAGGTATTTGTGATACTTGAGGAATCCAGTTGCTCTGCTTACGTACACTCGTTTTCCTTTGTTTTATCATGGACATTCTTTTTAGTGGTACCGATTTTACTTTCTTAGGTGTCCTTGCTACACTTTCTTGCCTTGTTATTCTCCCTTTAAATGGCTGTGCAATTTCTAATAGGCTACCTATATAGCTCTTTGACACAATTACGGCCAATCTTATCACTAAATCAATTATTAGGATTACAACTAGACATGTTATGACAATTTTCCAAATTCCCATATAATCTCCAAAAACTTCCTTTGTGATTTTATCCCCAGCTTCTTTCCATTGATCTGATAAAGTTTTGGTAATGACTGTGTCTTTTTCACTAAGTCTGTAAGTTAATTCACTTACTTTAGCCATATTTGTCATAAATGTGTGAGTATTGAGGTCAGTTAAATTAACAAGTACTAATTCATGAAATGAGTGCGATTTAAGATTTGGAACTTGAAAATATCTAACTTCATTTTTCCTTATGCCTCTGGGCTTTACAGTTTTTATTTCTCCAGTCTGCTGATTTATTTCTAAAGCATTATTATTCACTTCAAGTATAATTTTTCTAAACTGGGAACAAGGGGCTTTCCTAGCAGTTGGTTGTATAATCATTGTATTTGGGTCAAGAAATGCCATAATATCCTTTGAACCTGTTTTGACCTGAATTGGAATTAAATCAAAACATTCATCCATTTTTGTGTTAATAAAACTAAACTCATTTTCTTTTAATTTTATACAAGGCCAGACACTTAGTAGGGAAACCCCTTCTCTTTTTGCAACTAAATATTCATTACTAAAGACCATTCTTGCCAGACCTGTAGGGTTTGATAAGTACGCTGCTACTGCTAAATTCTTTACTGTTTCCATATGATCACAGACTGCTTTTAATGAGTGAGGAAACGCGAAGGTCATTGTTTCTGCCCATTCTCTGTCAAGAAATGTAAGTCTAGCTGCTAGTTCAGGTGCTGTTGCTAAGCCGAGGCTTTCTGCATTTTTACTACGTTTTGAGCGTTCAAGATGAGTTTCGGTTGCGAAACCTTGCTCAGAAATTTCTAAATCCTTGCCACAATCTTGTCTTTTTGTTATGGGCTTCCCAAAATGTAAGGCTATCTGGGCGTCGTCAGATAACCAGGTGTTGTCTAAAAATTTTCCAGTCCAACGACCTATTGGGACATATCGGCAAAAACTATTTTTATTTATAGTCCACTCAAGTACCGTTTTATCATCTAATATGCAGTGACCTTTATCATAAGAACAATTATGGGTGCCCCCTAAGGGTGTCCTTATAGTCTTTTCACCCCAGTGAGAGTACACTTGCGTTTCAAATAAAATACAATTTTCAGATTGGACCTGAGTCCACGTAAATGATCCTATAAACCACATTTTTGGACTAATGTCAATTTTATTTCCAGTTGTAAAGAGTTCATTTTCTTCCTTAAGTGACCCTAAACTGCACTTCTTTTCCTTTATCATCTTATTACACTCTTCTCTTGACACCTCTAACATTTCTGAAGATACTGGCTCAGTTATTGGGACATTAGTAATGGAAGTATATTTCCTAACTATCTTGCGTATTTTTCTACAAGCCCATGCGTCAGTCGCATATTCTAAGTCGTTAAGCATATAAACAGTTCTGGTTTGCGAAATAGGCGCGTGCGAAATGTTTGGTGTGAGCTTGGGACATTCAGATAGTTCAGGTAGGGACCATAAAAGACCTTGTTTCTCCATTTGGCAAATCATTGGCCATTGCGGTTTCGGTAAATTTTCAAACCCTAAAACAGGAGAGAACATTGCTACAAGCATTAGAATTGTAAGTGGTAATAATTTTGGGCCTAAGCTCCTTCTGCCTTCCCAAGATGAGATTGCATTTTGTTTTGACTCTTTTACATTTTTAGGACTCTCTTTAATCTTTTCAGATTTTTGGACTACCTCTAGATTTTGAACTGAAGGAATATTTGAATTTTCACCCACCTTCATCTTTCTGATCGCATTTAAAATTTCTGATAGCATAGAATCATTTTGAATTTGACCTGCTCTGCTTTGAAATTGGCTTGTTCCTTGACCTTCATATTGTCTGAAGTTGAAACGCTCCAGTCTTTCACGGCAGTTGCTGGCAAAGTGGCCTACACGGGAGCAATAATTGCACACAGGTCTGTTGTTCCATCGTCGATCATTTGTGGGATTACGGTTCCAGTTGCTCATTCTTTGATTTGGCCTAGACCAGCTTCGTTGATTGATTTGTCGATTCTGAAAGTTCCGATCATTAGTTTGGTTAAATCTCCAACCTTCACGAGGTTGTACTCTATTCGAATTAATTGGATTTAAAGTTTTGAAACGTCCCGAGGGACCCTGAGAACCTACGTACTGATTCACTTCCTGCAACTCATTGACACTTGCTGTTGGGAATAACGGGTTACTTCTGCCTGGGATCATTATTTCCACTTCCCTAGCATCCATACAAAGTTGCTCAAATCCTCGGTTGTTCTGAGTAAAGTTGAGGAGTTTCATGCAAAAAGCAATATTAGGGAGAAGCCTTTCCAGTAAAAGATCACATAGATAACGTTCACGATGAGTACCAGCCATGTCTACTGCTGTTGCCAACGCTAGAGGTCTGAATCTTGTCAAAAATTCTTTAACTGTTTCATTTTCCTGCTGTTTGCAAATTAATAGAGCCTGTCGTGAGAGTGACCTACGCTGAGGAGAGTCAAGTTCTTCTCTTATGCTTTTTAATGCCTGTTCACAAGTGGTTCGCTTTGCGGGACTTAATTCCTCAAATATTTGTTTGGGTGTATCGTCCAAAAATATAGAGAGGCGGTTGAGCTTTTCTTCTTCAGAAAGCCTTGCCCCATACACTTTGATTCTTTCCATGAATTTCTTACTCCACTTATCTAGTGCTACTATGTTATCATCTGAAAATACCTCTAGGGAAGGAATGCCCTCGTTGCTTAACATATTTAGTGTATGGTCATCCCCTTGTTCATCATCATCGATATGAAGATTATTATTAGCCGAAGCTTCTATAGCTGAGGAAAAGCTAATTTGAGGCTGTTCAAAAATTTTCTCATTTAAATTAACTTTGGGAGTTGACTTATTTTTGGGAGAGCACCTTATAGGCGAAAGTGATTTAGAGTGTGTGCGTACAGTGCCAACCCCATTTAGTCGAGTAACACAATCATCTATCTGAGACCCCAGTGTTGCAAAACCTACATTAACTTCATCTGCTAACTTAGTTAAGTTGTTAGCATTCAGGTTTGTTTTCCGGTTTATTACCCTTAATGAACGATTAATACCTTCCTCAAGTCTGATTGTGTCCCCATGGACTTTTTCCAAGTCAGTATAACGTGCCTGATTTGTGCCCACCTTTCCCACTAAAAGCATTTTGTCAACTACAGCAATAGTCATTTCTTCATTTCCAACATTAATTTGTGCCGAAGCACTCGATGTCGTAGCGTCCTTAGTGGACGACTGTCCCCCGTTTGAACACATACAATTAAAAGCTTTTATTTTATTTCTAAAAAAATAGAATTTTAAAACTTTAAAGTAACTATGAGATATGAATGACTAGGCTAAAACTTAATGAAATTTATTAATGGACGTTTTTGTTTATCATCAGTTCCTTTCACATGAATTACACAAAACACTTTTAATTTTCATTAAAGCTTTGATTAACAATGATTGCTCTTAAATTTGCTAGTTTCTCACCTTCCTGATTTCTAATCTTTTGCAAGCTTTTTCCCTTTATTTAAACTACTTTTCCCTTCCTTTAGTCTTCGTGAGAAACTTTTATTTTAAATTAATAATTTTCCTTTATATTACACTAATAAAAGCTTTCTTTACACCTTTGCCTTTTTTTTAATCAAAAAAAAAAAACTTCCTCCAATGTAGACTTTACCCTTTCTTTAAACAATCACAAAGTTTTCTTTAAGGTAAACTTTGCCCCTTCACTGGCAATCTTAAACACTTTGGAAATTCTACTTCGTAATTTTTTTGACAGTATACCAGACCCGAGTTTATTTCGACTTGTTTTTATAAAAGACT